GCGCGGGGGAGAGCGCGGGAAGAGCCCATGCGGGCGTGGGCCGTGGGCCGCCTTGCCGTTTTGGGCCGAAAGAGCAGTACAGAAAAGAATGAGTTTTTCCTTTTTTCTATTTCCAGCAAATATTTATTTCTGGAAAATGAAAAATAGCTCAAAAAGAGAAATAGAAAAAGTAATTTTTTCCCTGTGGGAAAATTCAAGAAATTGAGAATATTTTTCCACTGTTAAAGAAAAAGTATATTCTCTAGTGTTTTTGAACCGACATGATATTTAACTGGAGAAAAGGAAGGTTTTTCCAGTAAATGTTTATTTCCTGGAAATTGATTAATGGATTAAAGAAAATAGAAAAAGCAATTTTCCCTGTGGGTAAAATTCAAGAAAAAGAGAGTTTTTCCATAGCCAAAGAAAAGTTGTTTATACTCCAGTTATTTTGAACCAATGTGGTATTTAATTGGAGAAAAAGAGATTTTTTTCGCTGCTAAAGAAAATGTTGATTCTCCAATTATTTTGAACCAATGTGGTATTTAATTGGAGAAAAAGAGTTTTGACATGATTATAATGTTGTTATTTTCTGACCAACGTTGTTAATAACAATATCGTAATGCTAATGATTTATGCATTAATTCTACTTCTGCCCAACGGTGATGTAGAATTAGTGTATAAGAAAAGTTGATAATGTTAATGATTTATGCATTATTTCTACTTCTGCCCAACGGTGATGTAGAATTAGTGTATAAGAATAATTGTATGTTTTGTTTTTGACCAATGTTGGAATCAAGGCATGCAAATGGTGTTATTTTTATGTTAAGAAAAGTTTTGACTTGGTTTTCATCTTGTCTAAGGTAGACTGGGTAGTCACCTCACCGTGTTCCACTGAGTTTGTGGCACCGGTGAGGAAGACAAAAGAGAATGATGCCACTTGGGCAACTAAAGAAAGGGATTTTGAATCTCAAAAGATATCCTATAACTCCTTGGGCATAGGAAATGAATCACTACCAACACGAAAAAGTTTGGCTATGGTAAAGAACATGATTGAACCTGCAATTGTGGGTTCAATTCCAGAATGTGACACGGTCACTGAGTACCTCGATAGAATAAATAGTCAGTTCACTGGCTCTTCAAAGACATATGCCACTTAACTGATAAAGCAGCTGGCCACAGAGTGTTAATCTGGAAAAGGTGGCATAAGAGAGCTCACGATGCATTGTCAAAATTATGGCACTGTCGTTTAGGCCATATTTCGAGGGGGAGAATAGAAAGACAAGTTAAGAATGATATTCTTCCTCCATTAGAGCTCTCAGATTAAGTTCAATGCAGAGAATGCATAAAAGAAAAGTATATAAAGAAGATTAAGAAAGATGACAAACGAAGCGCAGGAATCTTATAGATTATTCACACAGACATCTGTGGTCAGTTTCCTGTAAAGAGTGTGGATGGTAATGATTCGTTCATAACATTCACATATGAGTACTCCCATTATGGCTATATTTATCCAATCAAAGAAAGAAAAGATGTATTGGATAAATTTAAGATATTAAAGATTAAGATAGTCAGGTCTGACCGTGGGGGAGTACTACGGTCGGCATACCCTAAAAGAATGGCATAGTAACCCAGTATTCTACATCGGGCGAACCTCAGCATAATAGAGTAGCTAAAAGAATCAATCGCACCCTGATGGATATGGTGGGCTGTATGATAAGTTACTCCACCTTACAGTTGAGCTTGTGAATGGAGGCGTTAAAACTGCCACTCATATTCTCAATAGAGTATCAAGAAATTCGGTGTCCAAAACACCGTATGAGTTGTGGACAGAAAGAGTACCCTCACTAAACCACTTGCGTGTGTGTGGGGGAGCCCTGCTGAGGCTAAAGTATTTAACCCAAAATAGTAAGTTGCCATTTGTTTGGTTACCTAGAAAAGTCAAAAGGTTTTCGTTTTTACTGTCTAGAGAGACATACAAAGTTTGTGGAAACGAGACACGCTCTTTTCCTATAGGATGAAAAGATGAGGGGGGAGCATGGTAGCTCGAGAAATTGACCTTGAAGTGAAGCGGATGTATGCACCCACTCCAATGATTCATGAGCCAATTTTCTCACTACATGCTGTCGCTGCACCGACAGTGTAAAATACTATGGTGTCAGCACCTGCTGTTATTTCACCTGTGGCAACAATGAATGAAAATGAGGAACCTGTTCTTCAGGATTCTATAGAACCGATTGCCACACATGAGGGGGAACAACAACAGCCTCAAATAGAAAATGTGCCAAATGTGAAGGCTCCTAGAAGGTCTGAAAGAGTTAGTAAATCAGTTATTCCTGCTGATTATGAAGTGTATAACACTAAGAAATTTCAAATGGAGGATGATCCCACCTCATTTAAATAAGCCATGAAAAGTAATCATTCATCAAAGTGGTTTGAGGCCATGGAAGATGAAATGAAATCGATGAATGTCAATAAAGTTTGGGATTTGAAAATAATTCCTAAAAGAGTCAAAACAGTAGGCTATAAATGGATCTATAAGACTAAACATGACTCTCAAGGGAATATAGAGACATATAAAGTGTGACTTGTGGCAAAAGGCTTTATGCAAAGAGAAGGGATTGATTACAATGAGACCTTTTCTTCAGTCTCATGTAAAGTTTTCTTCAAAATCATAATGGCATTAGTGGCACATTACGATTAAGAATTATATCATATGGATGTAAAGACGACATTTCTCAACAGAGACTTGGAGGAAAATGTTTACATGGCACAACCGAAAGGTTTTGTCATGGAAGGAAAAGAACGAATGTGATGCCGCCTAAAGAAATCCATTTATGGATTAAAACAAACTTCAAGACAGTGGTACTTGAAGTTTGATCAGACAATAAAGAATTTTAGGTTTTAAAGAGAATGTAGAGGACAATTGTGTCTATACAATTTAAAGAAAATATAGAGAATAATTGTGTCTATGCAAAGTTTAAGAATAGGAAGTTTATCTTTCTTGTCCTGTAAGTGGATGATATCTTACTTGTTAGTAGTGATGTCAGTCTACTATAGAAGACAAAGAAGTTTTGTCCTCAAAAAAATTGATTTGAAAGATCTTGGTGAACCTTCGTTCGTTTTAGGGATCGAGATTCACCGAGATAGAAGAAAAAGGGTATAAGGACTATCACAAAAGGCATACATGGAAAAGATCTTAAAAAAATTCAGTATGCACAAATGTAGACCCTCACCTGCTCCTATAGTCAAGGACGACGGATATGGGGATTTTCAATGGCCCAGGAACTAATATGAGCTCAATCGATAAAGTGAAAGTGGTTCCATATGCTTCAGCTGTCGGAAGCTTGCAACATGCTCAAGTATGTACACGCCCTGACTTGGCATTTGTTACTGGGTTTTACTTGGCAGATTCCAGAGGAATTCTGGAATAGAACACTGAAATTAGTAAAGAAAGTCTTGCATTATTTGTAAGAAACGAAAGGCCTAATGATGACATATAAAAGATCTGATTCACTCCACATGGTGGGATATTTAGATTCTGATTATGTGAGAGTGAATACATATCCAGACGTGGATTTTCTATCATCTCGCAAAGGGGAGCTATTTCATAGAAAAGCTCAAAGTAAACTGTCACTACATCGTTCACAATGTATGACAGTTTGTAGCGTGTTATGAGGCAACGGGCAGGTGAATTAACTAACGAAGTTCATACCCGGTTTGAAGGTGGTTGATGATATCTATAGATCACTAAAGTTATACTGCGATTATAATCTGGCAGTAAAGGATGCTCACAACATAAGTCAAGTGGTGCTGCCAAACACATTGACATAGAGTATTATGTTGTGAAAGATAAAGTCCGGGATCAAGTCATAAGTCTTGAGCATATACGAACAGAAAGGATGCTCGCGGATCCGCTTACAAAAAGGCTTACCACCCAACATATTCAGAGGACATGGTGTTCAGAGAACATGTAGCTAGCTTGGGTTTAAGGGAAAGCCTAAAATATTCCTGGACAAAAGAAGGCCCAAAGATAAGTATCTATTTCAGAACAGAGTAGTGAGTTGTAGCTGTTAAGTTTATCGGCAATGGACCGTGACGATGAGACATGCTCTATGAGCTAATCTGTAATGAAATAAACAAAAGTAAATGATATGAAAATGAAAGATGGAATGAGATCAAGGGGGAGAATGTTAGTTGATCTCCACCAATAGGCCCAACGGCCTATTGGGTCCTTATCTCTGCTCCCTGATCGGGAGAGCCCAACCCTAATCCGGTTGGTGGCCCCCTGTCGCACAGCACACATAAAAGGAAGGTGGGGGTGAGGGCTCGAACGACGAGGTTCAACGGAGCCGCCACCCACCTACAGAGAAACCCTAATCCGATCCTAAAGCGTGCTGCTAGCGACGGGATGAGCCCGCCACCACCATTGCCGTCGCCTATGCAGGGACACCGTCGGCGCCACTGGATTGGGTCTCCGCCGCCACCACTGTACCTCGCCATCGAGTCGGAGCTGCCTCGGCACTGGCGTCCGCGAGGCTGCACCCAGGGCGGCATCGGCGTCCACGCTGCCGCTGCGGTGAAGCTCCACAAGGTCGAGGAGCCTAACTACGGATCTACGGTTCACACACAGAGGTACCAATCCTACGATCCTAATAGACAAGACACATTCAAGCTAAGGCCCCGTTTAGATGCGAAAATTTTTGGCTTTTGGCTACTGTAGCACTTTCGTTTGTATTTGACAAAAATTGTCCAATTATGGACTATTTAGGCTTAAAAGATTCGTCTCGCCAATTACGGACAAACTGTGCAATTAGTTATTCTTTTTACCTACATTTAATGCTCTATGCATGTGCCGCAAGATTTGATGTGACGAAGAATCTTAAAAAAATTTAGATTTTGGGTGGGATGTAAACAGGGCCTAAGGCCACGCGCATACAAAGGAACCTCATCGTCACTAGCAAGCTACTTCCGGACATTGTTGCAACGAGCTAGAATAATTCGCGCTAGTTTCGCGAAGCAGTATGGCTCGCATCCTCGTGTTGGTGCTGGTCACCATCTCGAGCCTCCTACCGCCGATCGCGAGCCAGCAGGCAGCGACGAAGTGCGAGTACACAAGGCACTCCCGCCACCGGTACAAGCACCCGGTGGGCGTGCGGAAGATCGTGGTAGACGCGAGCGGCGCCGGCGACTTCGTGTCCATCCAACAGGCCGTCGACTCGGTGCCGGAGGGCAACACCATGCGCGTCATCATGCAGATCAACGCCGGCACGTACATGTAAGTTTGCTAGCTATCTAGCTCTGGCCCTTTTCATTCGCTGAGGCTGATCGAGCTTCGTTCATTTCCTGACGGGCCGGCCGGGGTGTATATGTGCGTGCGTGCGTGCAGAGAGAAGGTGGTGGTGCCGGCGTCGAAGCCGTACATGACGTTCCAGGGCGCCGGGCGCGACGTGACGGTGGTGGAGTGGCACGACCGGGCCAGCGACCGCGGCCCCGACGGGCAGCCGCTCCGCACCTACAACACCGCCTCAGCAACCATTCTCGCTAACTATTTCAACGCTAACATCAGCTTCAAGGTGAGCAGCAGCCGTTTGCATGCATTGCCCAGACCCAGTGGTCCATGATGATGAACGAAAGGCCCGAGTGTACATTCGTACGCGAGGTCAGAAGACGCACAGGGAAAAAGGGCTGTGGCTATGGCCTGGTGCATCATGCAGCGGCGGCAGACACGGTGCAGGGGCAGGCAAAGTGACAAAACCTCAGAGTCACAAGTCTGGACTTTGTAAACGCTAGCTGCCGTCTCTGTGTGTATCCCAGCTAGGTAGCTCTCTTTCCTTTCGAAAATTTCCAGCCTGTTCGGTTGGATGATTCGTTTTATTGTTGGTTTGTGAAAAAGCACTGCTGGTTGATTTATGTGAGAGAAAAATACTGTTTTAGTTGAAAATTTCCGACCGTTTACGATAAGCCACAGCCAAACGAAGAGGCTGTTTGAATCCGATCGATCCGCATGTTGTGTATCCTAGCTAGCTAGCTCTCTTTCCTGTCTGTGTATCCTAGCTAGCTGCTGCACACTCTGCGCCTTGTCCGTCCATTTAAAAAAAAAGCTAGCCCTGCGGTCGAAGCCTATCCTTGGCAGTTTTTTATAGCATGCTCGGCGCAGATTACATGGCTCCCAGCTCGGCGCCCACATATGTGGCGCCAAGGTACTAACCACGTCAACGCCACTTAGGATTTTATATAGTGCATGATCAGACACCTCGACGTCAAGATTTGTAACACCGAGAAGTGTTAACTAGATGCCATGAGTCCTGACGCCGACCCACAGGGTTCAAAGATGAGTTTAAGTCTCCAGGAGGTCAAACGTAAATTTTCTTCAAAAAAAAGGCTAAATAGAAAAATTTTGGGTGGGACTGCCTTAAGGCATGATGACGTGTGGCAAACTCTACTAACGATCCGAACACGCCCTAAAAAATTCATATAGCCAGAACCATTTTGACAAAAAAAAAATCTATACGAAAGTCTCGAAATCAATGCCGAGTTGGACGGTCAATACAGCATCAGCATCTCTAATTACAAGATGGATCCCGTGCCGTCCGATCCGAGTCGGGGTCAAAGTGTCAAACTGATCGAACGGTTCACGATCAACGTGTCCCCTTCACATTTGCCAATCTTCTTCTGTACGCTTCCCAACGTCCGAGCACAGTTTCGTTCCCTCTCCCTCGTCTCTCCGTGTTCCCGCCGCCATTTTGAACCCACCTCCGATGGCCACCGCCGAAGGCGACGCCGACTGGTCCCTGCCCTCCCCCGCCGACCACGAAGACAACGGATTCCTGGCTCTACCCTCCTCCCCCGCCGCCTCTAGCAGCGGCTTCGCGGAGGACTTCTACCGCAGCGGCACCGAGTGGTCCTCCCTGCGCGCCCCTCCGCCGCTGCGGCCGCCCGGAGGGCCACCCGGTGTGAAGGAGAAGGAGAGGGGAGGCGGCTCGCTCGTGCAGAGCAGCCTCTTCCAGGCTTGGGGGATCGATAAGCCGCGGCGGGAGGCTGGGGATTCATCGCTTGTGCAGAGGAGCCTCTTCCAGGCGTGGGGGATCGAGAGGCCATGGACGGAGGGGCTCGGGGCTGGGGATTCCTCCCCATCCCCCCTCCCTTTCCGGTTCTTGGTTGGGAAGGAAGCGGAGGCGAGGAGGAACCGAGGAGGCGGGGGTGGCGGCCAAGAAGCCCCTCACGTGCCCCTTCTACAAGAAGATTCCCGGTAAAGGCTTCTGCGTTCATGCTTGGCTACGAAATTAGTCCCAAATTAGTTTGTTATATAATATAGCTTAGGCATTTTTTCACTAAATTGAGAATATATAGTATGCCTGTTGAGCTACTGCCTACTGAGGATGGCATACATTGAATTGCTGTTACAGTCAATTTTTTAATTTGCCAATCTTGCTCGTGCATCTGCAAATTTAATGAACCTAGGCACACCATTCACAGTGGATGCATTTCGGTATGAACAAGTTGAGGGATGCTCGGCCTATTTCCTTAGCCACTTTCATCATGACCACTACGGTGGATTGACCAAGAAATGGTGTCATGGCCCCATCTATTGTTCTGCACTCACTGCACGCTTAGTGAAGATGTGCTTGTCAGTAAATTCCGAGTAAGTCTCCCTTCTATTTCCCTCTATGAATTGTTTCATGGTGATTTCTCGTGCCCCAACAACATGTATTGAAATTAATGACTGCAGCTATATTTGTCCTTTGGAGCTTGATACCGAGTATGTCATAGAGGGAGTGACAGTTACCTTGCTGGAGGCCAACCATTGCCCTGGTGCAGCTCTAATCCACTTTCGACTAAGTGATGGAAAGACCTATCTCCACACTGGGGATTTTAGAGCATCAAAATCTATGCAATTGCATCCACTTCTCCAGAGAGGCTGGGTAAATTTGGTTTACCTGGACACAACATATTGCAATCCCAAATACAAGTAGGTATACGATCCTCAAGTTTTAGGCATTTTCTCTTTCATTAGTACTTTGCTGAACATGGTAAACTGTAGGTTCCCACCCCAGGAGGATGTTATTGATTTTGTTGTGAGGACAGCTCGAAGATATCTAAAGAAGCAGCCAAAAACCCTCATTGTTGTTGGGGCATATAGCATTGGGAAAGAGAATGTGTATCTAGCAATTTCCCATGATTTAGAGGTACTTTACAGTTGAACTTTACTATTAATTTTGGAACATGCAGACCTTCTTATTCCCTATTTAATATATTCATGAAAGGTCCCTATATACACTGATGCGTCGAGGAGGCGGATTCTTCACTCATTTGGCTGGCCAGACTTATCCAAAAGGATATGTTCATGCAATCAAAGTTCACCACTTCATGTTCTTCCCCTTGGATCTGTAAATCATGAGGTTTGGAAATGAATCTCAGATGAATTCTATGAATTCAGCAAGTGAACCTCTCTAACTACAAAGTAGCATTTGTCAGAACTTGAAGATGTACATGGAGACTCTTAATGGAAGATTTCTAGCTGTGCTGGCTTTCCGTCCTACAGGTTAACGAAGTTTGGGAGAGAAATTTTTTACTTCTAGAATATGGATTCACATGGTTCTCAAGATTATCTCTATTGTTTTATCAGGTTGGACTTTCTCTGAGGCAACTGGAAAACAACTTGACCTAATAAAGCCAAGCTCTAATGGCAGTGTAACAATCTATGGTAGGATTTGTTAGTTATGCTGATAATGGTTTTCCTCTCATTTATTGCTAATGAAGAGGTCAATATGAACCAAAACTATTCCAAACGAGGAATTCTTTTAGTATACACAGTCTGGACTTTTCTTTGTCAAATGCAGCCTGAGTTTGTTGATCTCCTGAATTCAAATGGCTGATTTGCCAGAAGATCCAAAACTTACCTTTGCTCACTGCTATCTGCATAGCGGCGATTTTTACCGATATGAATATCTGATCTTCCATACCGAATAGAGATTGACAATTGCAGTTGCAGCTTAAGTAAAGAGAGGTGCATCCTAAATTAGAGGTTCCTTTGATTATTTGAAGATTTTAAGCTCAATTTGTTTTGGAAGTACATGTGGTTTCAAACTGAGTCTTAATGCCAAACGATGGCTCCATATTAGCCTTATTACTGTCCAATATGTATCACGTGTTCATGATAAACATTCCCAATACCAAACTACCATACAGAATTCATTCAATTATGAGTTGTTTCAAACTTATTTCCTATGCTTGTAGGTGTGCTTATAGCGAGCATTCAAGTTTCACTGAGCTTAGGGATTTTGCGATGGTAAATCCCTGAACCTGGTATTACATTGTTGTCTTCTTAGCTGAATTCTAACTATAGGACAATGTTTGCATTGGTAGTTTCTGAGACCTCATAAGGTAATTCCTACTGTTAATGTTGGCAATCCGACAAGCCGAGATAAAATGCAAGCAAATTTCCGGGAATGGCTGAAGAGCCAGCGATAAATAAAGCCTGATCAGGTTTTTTCTATATTGGCGTCAGCTTTACTCTAGTCAATGTGGTACTGTTGTATACCATGCTTACACTCACAGTTCATTATAACGCTTTTTATCTTCACTTGATTTGTTGGACTTCAACGAATGTTGATTCTTTTATGCCAGTGACCTAATCATGATACGGAAAAGAGGTCAAGATATTTTTAAAGGTTGATTTGCTCTGTGTTAAATGTTATGCCTAGAGGTACCACTTTTCCCAACATTATTCCGAGGCATTCATTTTATGGAAGCAGATAAGGATAAATTCTGTTCTTATCTCATTTGAGAGGTCAATGTGTTGTTTCTTGCTAGTCTGACATTTCTTTGCACGGGAATTGTAAGATGATGAAATATATTGATTTGACTTACTGTTTATCAAAACACATTATCTGCAACATATTTGTTGTGGCCTCATGTTGAATCGAAATAAAAGATTTCACTAGCTAGAGCAGTGGGCTTTCCTAGATGCAATTGGGAGTTGGCTATGCTGCCTTCAGAATTCTGTGGAAGAAATTGATACATAACCCAGCTTCTGAATTCCAATTAGATGATAAGGTCTATAGCCTAACACCTGCTGGACTGCAAGTGTCACAGCATCTATTGGCAACATAAGCACAAATTTCAGCTACTGTAATGATTAAACTATTTGTTCTTATTCGTCCCAAAATTATTTTCTACAAGGTGGTAGTCATGAAATGACTAATGGTAATAGTACATATGTTGGTGACATTTCTGATGCTCATAAGAATAAGCTTAATGCTATTGCATTACCATCATAGTTATGGGCAACCATCTAAATATTACCATTGCCTCCTATGCCTAGCAAAATCTTTGGTTAGTCCCACATCTCAGCATCTTCGAAATGTCTTATTGTTTCTGATCATCAGGAACCATGTTAGATCTTTCATTTTCTGTCCTAATGGGATTCCAATCCAAGGTACTGTACTAGGTCTCATGCAGCTAACAGCCCGTGGTGGGTTTGTATGCACATCATCAGTGTGATCATGGGTCTTATTTGGCAGTCTTCATGCCAGTACTATTAGTTGATGAGTTCCCTTGGGTATATCCTTTGCCTCCAGAATATTTGTCGACTTGATCTTTAGCATTAGACAGATAATTTGGTAAACCTTTAGTAATGATAATATAGAAATGTTCACTAGTCCTTTCTCCTATCTCTGCTGCTCTCTGGGGCAGTGATGTTGCCGACATGTATAGAGAGCTCACAGACATATATGGATAGCTTGATCTACTCCCATGGAAGGGGGTGATGCTAAGGTCGACACAGTCAGGGTCATCAAAGTAGACGAAAAATGATGATGCAATCGAGGTAGACTAGACGAGAATGAGAGGGTCAGTACTGAAGATGATGCAGTCAAGTCGCCATAGATAAGTATGCGCTAGGTTTGTTGGCCCAAATAGATCTCAGATTTAGATTTGGGAACTACCAGAGGGCAGCTTGGCCCTTGGCCGCTTGGATTGAAAGGATTGAAAGGAAATACAATGGCTTGTCCTGATACAAGTGTGTGCCCCTCCTTTTATGGGTAGAGGGCAGCATCTACTTTCTACCTGCTCCAGCATATTTTCTTACCACTAAAGTGGACGCTGAGCATATTCTTATTACAAAGGCTTAGAAGCCAAGGAAAGTAAAATGCAGAAAAGTAAGATACAAGTGCTGCCGAGCACTAGGCTTATCTGTCATTCTCCCCCTAAGCCTTGTGCCGAGCATTGGAAGCGATCTGCTGTAGCCCAATCCTCTCCCTCATCTCTTGGAACTTAAACTTCCCTAGCGACTTGGTGAGAATATCGGTCAGCTGATCAGTAGTGGCAATGTGGCTGGCCTTGATGCTCCCGTCCTCCAAGCAATCTCTGATGAAGTGGTACTTGATGCGGATGTGCTTGCTTCTCTCATGGAAGACAGGGTTCTTGGCCAGAGCTAGAGCATACTTGCTGTCCACCTTCAGCTCAACCACATCCACCTTCCTGCCAAGGAGCTCTGCCAGCATCCTTGATAGCCATAGTGCCTGAGTTGCTGTAGTGGTGGTGGCGATGTACTCTGCTTCGTAGCTCGAGAGGGCCACCGCCTTCTGCTTGAGGGATTGCCAGCTGACCAAGCAATCACCGAGGAAGAACATCATCTCGGTTGTGCTCTTGCTCGTATCCACATCGCCGACGAGGTCACTGTCGTAGTAGCCGACGAACCGCGCCGTGTCGGTGGCCCTTCCGTAGTGGAGACCGTAGTCGAGGGTGCCCGCCACGTAGCATAGAATTCGCTTGATGGCCTGCACATGCTCCATCATCGGCCGCTCCGTGAACCGGCTCATGTACCCAATGGCGAATGCGATGTTCGGCCGGGTATGGACCAGGTAGTGCAAGTTCCCGATTAGCCACCGGTAATGGGTTGGATCGACCTCCTCCGCCGTGCTCTCCCGACTCAGCTTGAGCTTCTCCATCGGGGTGTGGGTCGGATTGCAGCCTGCCATGCCGCTGAGCTCGAGGATGCGCTTGGTGTAGTGGGTTTGGCAGAGGGCAATCTCGCTACCGTCCTGGTGCACTTCGACGCCGAGCTAGAAGTAGAGGAGGCCGAGGTCGCTCATGTCGAATGCCTTCTTCATCTGTGCCTTGAACACCTCCACCTTCTGCTCTTCAGCCCCAGTGAGGATGAGGTCATCGATGTAGATGCCGACCAGTAGAACATTGTGTCCGCTGCCCCACCGGTACACCGCCGCCTCATGCGCGCTCTGCTTGAAGCCCATCTTCTTGAGTGTGGTGTCGAGCTTCGCGTTCTAGGTGCACGGTGCTTGGCGCAGGCCATAGAGTGCCTTGCACAGGCGGTACACCATCCCCTCTTCTCCGGCGACGGCGTAGCCAGGTGGGTGGCGCACGTAGACCTTCTCCTTGAGATTGCCATTGAGGAAGGTGGACTTCACGTCCATGTGGTGGACTTGCCACCCCTCTTGAGCTGCCAGCAAGAGGAGGACACGGACTGACTCCATGCATGCCACGGGGGCGAAGGCATCGTCGTAGTCGACCCCTCTTGCTGGACGAAGCTGCGCGCTACCAGCCACGCCTTGTGCTTGATCACCGTGCCTAGCTTGTCCTTGAGCTTGAACACCCACTTCAGGGTGATGGGGCGGTGGCCGTCCGGCAGCTCGCCCGCCATGCCGGATCACCCTGCGCTTCAGCATAAGTGATCGGCTCACCGGCGTGCGTCAGATGTAGCTAGGCGAAGAGCCTCTCGGGCTGGTTCGGTGGGGACTGCTCTCCGAGGATGTTTGCCACCATGTGGTACTAGAGGGGCTCATCGTCGTAGTAGGCGTCCAGGCGGTCTTCATCATCCTCCAGTGGCATCGCGTACTTGACCCAAATCTGCCTTGCGTGCGTTGGTGTCGCAGCGGGCAAAGTAGAAGACACTGGAGTGGTCGGCTGGTGCGCTGAAGAGGTCAGCTGCGGTGCTGGAAAGGTCGGCGCTACTGTTGATGAGCTGACGACCACCGCCGATGGGCTGCCGAGCTCCCCCGGATGTGGTGATGGCAAACGCGGTGGAGCTGATGAAGAGGTCGGCGCTGGTGATGAGGACCCAGATGTCGATGACGATGCACCTTGTGCTCCCTTAGCACCGCCCACCCATGCATACTCGATGGTGAAGTCATGGAGCGTGGCCGCCGACCCATCGTCCACCGCCTTTTCCCATGCCTAGCTGCGTCCTTCATCGAACACAACGTTTTGCGCCATGCGCACGCGCTGGGTCGAGCACGCGGTAGTCCTTAGCCCCTTCGGCGTAGCCGATGAAGACCCCCGGCGAGCTGCGATCATCGAGCTTGCTAACATGGTTCAGCTCCTTGACGATGGCGAGGCAGCCGAAGACGCATAGATAGCTGACCGTCGGCTTGCGCCCGTGCCAGTTCTCATATGGCGTCTTGTCGTCAAGTGCACTGGTCGGCGAGCGGTTGAGCAGGTGTATAGCGGTCATTATGGCCTCGCCCCAGTAGATCGCTGTCATGCCGCACTGCTTGAGGAGGGCACGTGCTGCTGCCACCACCGTCTAATTGCGGCGCTCAACCATGCCGTTCAGCTGTGGTGAGTAGGTTGCATAGTGGCGTTGAAACCCCTCGTCGGCGCAGTACACCGTGAACTCTGCCGCTGTTGTCCATGCGGAGCACCCGAAGCTTGCGGCTGCACTCCTCCGTGGCTGCCTGGTGGTGCTTGATGGCTTCTGTAGTTGCCGCCTTGGAATCGAGCAGCACGGCCCATATGTAGTCGTCGACGAGCAGTAGGAAGTAGCGTCGACCTCCAGGAGTGGCCGGTGACACTAGACCGCAGAGGTTGCCTTGCACCAGCTCGAGTTGCTCGGGGCACGGTAGGAGGCTTGACGCGGGAAGGGATGGCGCTTCAACTTGGTCACCACATAGGTGTCGCAGAGTTGCTCGACGTGGTCGACGCAGGGCATGCCGCGGACCATCTCCTCCTTGCCGGGCTGTTTCAGGGCCTTGAAGTGAAGATGCCCGAAATGCTCATGCCAGCGCCATGCCTCATCATCCCGGCGCGCAGCAAGGCAAAGGGGTTGCGCCACCTGCACATGGAGCACGTAAAGGCAGTTGCTTTCCTGGTTCACCTTGGTGAGAAGGCAACGACTTCTATCCCAGATGCGCAACATGAGCCATTCTCATCCAGCTGCCTGACGCTGATGATGGAGTTCCTCAAGGCCAGGATGTAGTACACGCCGGTGAGGAGGCGGTGCACCCCTATCTTGGCCTTCAAGATGATCGAGACGACTCCCTTGATCTCGACGGCGGAGGCGTCACCGAACTTGACGGAGCCATTCACACTGGAATCCAGGTTGGAGAAGAACTCACGCCGACCAGTCATGTGGTGCGTGGCACCAGTGTTGAGGTACCAGCCGTCGATCTTGTCATCGTCGGCACCTTTGCCGAGGAAGGTGTGGGTGCGTGGTTCGTCGGCGTGGAGGTGTG